ATCAGCTCATCACCTATGCGTGCGAGGGAACCACCTATAAAAGTCCTCGCACAAGCAACTTCTGGGCAGCTAACTAGGTGGGGGTCAACTACCGTTTCAGTCTTTGCCATTGCGACCTCTGGATGGGAGGTTGACAGTCGGCTTGCATCTAGAGTTCCTGTAGAGGCAACTGCAACCTCTACTGGCCGGTCCCTTTTGGGTACCTATACTCTAGACAAAAGGGAACTATGTGGTCGGGGTCACCGCGTGTAAAGCATTGACCGACCTTGCAACGTTCTTCCCATACTTTCTAGTCTATACCCATTTCTAACCAAGGTCTGCCTTTAGTTATCCCTGGGAGTTTCGGGTATGGCCGTCTACCTTTACCTCTTCCCCCTGTGGAGTAAGAACCTCTCCCACCTTGCGAGGGACCATTACCCCTTCCTCCCACATAGTAGCTACCTTCACCACTACACCTCTGGGCGGCGGGTCCTCTTCCTCTACCTCGACCGCGGGCTCATCTTCCTCTACCACAGCTTCTTCCTCCTTGTCGCCTTCCCCCATGGTCTGCAACAGCCGCATAGTCCGCTCCTTGAGCTAAGTGACCATTGTTGTCTTCTTCTAACCCATAGTCTATTTGGTCGTAGGTAAGTGATTTTACCCGTCCTTCTTCGAAGGTGAGCAGTAGATTATCTTTGCCTGCTATATTTCCCGAAATTGTTTGGTCTTTCCATTTCTTGCCAGCCCACAGGTCTTTCTAGTAATGACAATACTGTGCCTCTTGCAGGAAGTCAGCGTGATCTACAGCGATCTTACTAAATTTCTCGTATGTCATTCCTTCTTTAGTGCGGGGATATAGTTGTGTTTTTAGGGGGTCTGGGAGCGCTCTAGCAAAGTTATTTAGGATCTGTGCCGGTGTTAATCCGTGATCCGGGCATTGCAACAGTTCATCCATTGTGGCCCTAAGGGCTGACACACTCTTCCATTTACGCTCACCAATGTTAAGGATCAAAGACTTAGTGCTACGGGCCAGGTTCTTATCTTCGAACCTTTCTCTAAGAGTTTTGAGAATACTGAATCATGGTTGTGCAACCAGCCTCTTTCATCAAAGAGATAGTGAAACTCATTGCGTCTCCTGCCATGCATGAGCTTGCCATTAGCACACGGTCCCAATACAGAATCTTTTGTGCGTACATGTATGTGTCCATAGCCGCCTCCCAGTGGAAGATGCTTTCATCCTTTTTCCCCGTCACCTTCATATTTTGCCTGGATTCCTCCTCTTCACCGTCTTTCTCCTTCTTGGGACCCTTTCCTTTCCTATCCCGATCATCTTCATCATCGCCTCCATCTCCTCCCCTGCCCCCAATCCTCAACTTTCTTACTGCGGCAGGATTGGACAACTTTTTGACAAAGGCAGTATCTAATTGATCAACATACTCATATATACGATGATCAATCTGTTCGGAGGCACTGCGCAGGAAATTATTCCAAATGCCTTCGAATTCCCCTTGATGCAATTCCATTTGATTGATTGGCCGGTTGAATGTAGCAAGTTTTTGGTTGGTGTGGAGGGTATCTGTTAGGAGGGAGAGTCTCTCATCTACGGCAGCCTGTTTACCTTTCTGCTCTTGCAGCAGCTTCTGCAACCTCTCCCCCTCCTCTTTCATCTTTTTTTTTTCCGTTATATTCCTGCCTTTTTGCCGCCACCATCTTATTGTTCAATTCTCTCTTCTTCTCCTCCAGCAATAGATTCTTCTCCATCTCGTCTGCTGCAGATGCCAACTTAATTATAAAGGCATTTTTCTCCTCCTCCGTCTGTTCCGGAAACTCAGTCTTGTACCCGAACTGCTCACTCCAATTCAGCGCCTCCAACTGTCGTATACGGATTGCCCCGGCCTGACTACTCTCGGCCGTTTCTTCCTGCAGCTGTTTTTTTTTTGTTCTTTCCAGCCTTTCTCCTTCATCTTTTTCTTCTTCTTCTTCTTCTTCTTCTTTCAATTCCGCCAACATTTTTTTCTCCTTCTCCTTCATCTCCTTCTCCATTTTTTCATTCTCTTCCAACAACTTCTTCTTCACCTCCTTCTCCTTCCTTTTCTTCTCCTCCTTTTCTTTCTTCTTTTCTGCCAAGTGGTGGTCTATCTCTGTCTGTTCCTCAACTGTCTGGGCCTGCGTTGACTTCCCAGACCTCAGCATCATATGTGAGAAGAAGGTTCGCTGGAACCCAAGAGGAAAGAATAAGCAAAGTAGGGGTCCCCATAGCACAGACAGGAACAGGAGTGTGAACATGGGATAATTGTCCATGGTGACTAGAAGCACAGGTAAGCGGCCTCCACCTCCTCACCACTAACCCCGCAACTACCAATTCACTAACTCACGAGTGGTTCTGACTGTTGCTGATTGCTAGATACCTTCCCAGAACTATATATTACTTTTTTTTTCTTAATGAGCGGACTGATTACTGGACTCAAGGCAGATCGAGTATGTGACGATTTAGACCAGCCCAGCAGCAGCAACACGAGGGTTGAGAAGGTACCAAACACCAAAACAATCTCGCAAGCAATACAGGTTTGATGGGGGAATGCACTTCACTCCAATGAATGTTCCGTTGATGAAGCTCCACGGCCGCTCCAACGCTCCAAGGCAGCAGCAACAGGTACGTAATCAAGCCACTTTTTCTTCGACCTACTTCTTTACCCCCTTCGTCAGTCTTCTCCCCACTCAACTCACTCTCATTTCACCCTTCTCGCCGGCCTTGATCGTTTCCAGCGATGTTCAGTGGATGTGACGAGCAACTGCTCCGATACCAGTTTGCAATGAACCTCAATGATTCAACTCCAATGAGCACACATATTCACACCACATGCATGTATGAGATCACACGAAGTTCACATTGGAGACCAGAGAGACTAAGACCAGGTAGCGCAGCTTATGAATTCCAACAAGTTATTACAAGAGCAATAAGAGTTCCGAGTCACCAACGCACATCAGTGCGTGTCAAAGGTAACCAATAACCAGCATAAGCTCTCAGGTAAGTATCTCTTCCCCACCGCTCTTCTCTCTTGTGTATCTCCCCTCCTTGCTGGTCTTCTCCCTAGCTATGTCCTCGTTGTGTCTCCTCTCCCTACGTGCGTGCACACACACTAACTTCTACTCCAAGATTTACTCTGAATACACCCACTGATATGCCTACTAACCCTCTAAAGTCTACTACTAACACTCTGCACTGGCGCAGCTATGGCTGCCTTCTCCCTGCCAGCGCAATTCTCTCTCTCTCTCTCTCTCTCTCTCTCTCTCTCTCTCTCTCTCTCTCTCTCTC